CCATGATGAAACAAACGGGGGGGGGCAGTTTAAGAGTCCCCCAAAGACATATGAGGAATGTTAATCCTGATATTATTCATAATAACAATAGCTAACATTTTCCAGCAATTGCTACATACCAGGAGTTGTTCTAAAAATATATGTTAGCTCAGTGGATCCTTAAAAGAGTCATCAGTAACAGTAAGTATTATGCTAAGAAAACTGAGATACAAGGCTAGTTAAGTGTCTTGGGGGTTCACGAGTTCATCCTCCATACTATATTGTTTGTACTATAATAAATAGTGAAAACATAGGAAAAAACTTGTCTATCTACCAAAAGAGAAGTTAAAAATAGAAAAATAAAATAAAAGCTTATGTAAACCAAGAAAGAGACATTATTAATAATTATGATATATTTATACCATGGACTGCTTTCACAGTGTCATTGAGGATTCACATTCATTGATTGACATGAAAGAGAAAAAAGGAAACAACAATAAAGGAAAAAAAAAGAGAAAAAAGGAGGCTATAGAATTATGTATCTATACAGCCATTTAAAAAATTACCCAATCATGAGAAATTATGCAAATTTCTTTGGACACATTGTAAACAGTTTGGAAAAAATGATGTGCACCCAAATGTTAACTGTGATTTTTCTCTGGGAGGCAGCTTGATAGTTGTCTTGTTTTCTCTTACGACATTTCTGTATGTGGGGAGTAAAGTGATCCTGCATCCCTCATAGAACCACAGATAAGCAATCAAGCTATTTTTAAAGGATTGTGACCGCTGCTGTTTCTGTCAGTGCTGGAGAGTGCTGCTGGTTGACGTTCAAACAGAAAGCATGGCTGCTGCTTCGTGCAGGCTCATGCTGGCCTCAGCACAGAGGTTTCCTGTTTCTCAGCAGCCTAGATGCACAGTTTCCATGATTGTCCCGCAGACATGGGCGTAAACTTCTCTCTGGGCACCCGATCACAGTGGAGTCTGGCTGCATTTCAAGTTTCTGGCCTAAGATATTTCTGTTCATTGTTGCTTCATTAAACACACAGGCCCTATCTCTTTCCCATCTGGGGCATGCAGGCTCCACGGAACCTCAGAAACAATAATTTAAACCACAAGTGGATTTGGTAAAGGTGTTAGCTCTATGCTCTTCTAATCTACCTGTCTGTCTGTCTGTCTCTCTGTATCAATTTTGTACCTTGCACAGGCTTTGTACTAGGTGCATGATGGATCCTCTGGCATCTATGGGGGATTGGTTCCAGGACCCCTCCTCCCACAGGCCAGAATCCTCACATGCTCAAGTGTCTTGTGGTGTAATATTTGCAATAGAACCTATGCATGCCTTACTATAAACTTTAAATCCTCTCTACATTACTTACAATGTAAATGGTGTGTAAATAATTGTCATACTGTGTTGTTTAGGGAATAATGACAAAAAACATCTCTACATTGGGGTGTAGCTTCAATGGTAGATTGCTTGCTTGGCAAGCATAAGGCCCTGAGTTCAAACCACAGTACTGCCAAAAAAAAAAAAAAAGTCTGTACATAGATAATTAAAAAATTTTTTTCAGTCTGATTGGTTGGGACCTGTGGATCTGGAGGCCAACTGTTACACACTGAGAAGTATAGCTCAGTACAAACAAAGTGTTTATAGAACAATTTATTCAACTGAGTTAGCAAACATACTCAGGCATTACTTGGGGACACAGAGTGAGATCACCATCTAAAGAGAAGACATGTTAATGGCTTCAGAAAGGAGATGACATTTCCATTGAATTTTGAAAGAGAACTGGGTTACTCAGTGGAAAAGCGGAAGGGTGTCCAGGCCGATGGAATAGTACATGCAAAGACATGAAGCCTGGAGGAATGTGATCTGCTCAGGAAATGTCCAGACTCAGATCAAGACCACGTTTATAAAGAGCTGAGACATTTGGATCTGATCATTGATGGAAAGCTGGCAAAGACTTGATTCCATAAAGGAACATAAGCACATTCTAGAAAATTAATGTCACTGCCAACGTCATTGAGAAAACTGAAACAACCAGTTTCCATTGCCACCTGTGTCCACCTGCTTGCACCTCACACCCACTGCCCTCCCTCTTGCTGGGCAGATGAGCTGCACCCTCTCCTGCCTAAGTGAATACCTCCACATATGCACTAGGTCTCATCCCTTTCCTTCCTGCCCAAGGACATCGCTCCAGAAGACCTCTCTCTCTTGCCAGCATTGACAACTTTTATTTTTTTTGGTGGTTGTTGTTGTTGGTAGTGTTACTGGAGTTTGAACTCAGGGCCTTGTGCTTGCTAAGTAGGAGCGCTACCATTTGAGCCATGTCTCCAGTCCATCCCTCTTCTCCTTGAAAGCTATTTAATTGAAAATATATTCGCATGGAAATATCACAGTGAAACCCCCTTATGTAATCAATATACACTAATAAAAAAGAATCTCAATAAAAAAAAAAAGAAAATATATTATATAGTCTGTATCACTATCGTACCATCCCTCTTGGTTAAAATATAAATTCTGAGCTAGGGGGAGTGGTGCATATCTGTAATTCCTGCACTTGGGAGGCTAAGGCAGGACAATCACTAGTTCAAGAGCAGCCTGCATATTGAGACCCCATCTGAAAAAAAAAAATCAATTCTGCCAGTCCAATCAATGATCATCAGCAGGAAAGAGCTACTGTGTGCCTAGTGATCCAGCCAAGCTCATCAGAGGATAAGATCTATTTTAAAAATAATTTTTCTTATTATACTAATTACATTCATTATTTAACTATCACAGGAAGTTAAGATGCTTCTCTCTTCAACAGGTGGCAAACCATCTACACTGTTTGAATAATGGATTATTTAATTTATATTCATTTGGCAAATCATCTATTTTGTTTTATTTTAGTTTTTCTTCTTCTGTGTTTTGGTAATACTGGGGCTTGAACTCAAGGTCTCACACTTTCTAGGTAGGCATACTACCACTTGAGCCACTCCTCCGGATGTTATTTTATTTTATTTTTTTGTCTTTTCTTTTTTATTGCTGGGGATCAAACCAGGGCTGTGTGCATGCTACACAAGCACTTTACCACTGAGCTACATCCCAGCCCATTTATTTTATTTTAAATTTTTATTTGCTTTTTGGCAGTATTGGAGTTTGAACTCAGGTCCTTGCACTTGCTAGGAAGGCTCTCTACCACCAGAGCCATGCCCCCCAGCCCTTTTTGGCTTTAGATGTTTTTTGGATAGGGTCTTGAGTTATTGCCTGGGCCACCTGGACTGTAATCTTCTTACCTATGCCTCCCAAGTAGCTGGTATTACAGGTATATACCACTACCCTAGCCCCAGCTGGCCTCGAACCACAATCTTCCTAATCACTATCTCCAGAGTAGCTGGATTTACAAGTGTGAACCACTGTGTCCAGTCTACAGGGGTCTTATTCAAAGCAAGAACCTCCTAATTGTTCAAACCCAAGAACCTAGTCCCCTCTCAGTGGCATTTTCTCCATGGTGGCACCGCTGCTACTGCCGCCTCCCACCCCCTGCCCTGGCCCTGGGCAGAACACAGGGAACTTGAATGTTTCTGCCAGTCACCCAGCACCCCCAAATGGAGGCAGAGGCCAAGTGTGCAGTGGTGAGCCTAGAACCCACTGGTCACAGAGAGGCTGAGAGGATGCCAAGTAAGCCTTAGGATAAAAGTAGGCAGAAGAAGCTCTCTACCAGCAGTTTTGCAAGAGAAGCAAAGGAGAAATTTATAAAAGAGGAAAAAATTCATTTACTCTAGTAAAGGGTGAACTGTCTTACTGGACAGTGAAGTCATGCAGGTCTCCTCCTCTTTAGGGAGAAAGCTGAGGTATGGTAGGGGTGGGAAGATTTGGAATCTTAATAACTGAATAACTGAGAGCTATTCTTGGCTTCCCAGTGTCAGTTTATTCATCTATAAAATGAGAGAATGACAAGGACTCTCAAGGCTAGTGTGACATGCAATGAGGTAACAGGTGAAGGACGTTTTGTAGATTCCAAGTGCTTCATAACTGTTTCCTGTTCCTCCTTTCTGTCAGAAGCCTCCTGGGTCAAGTCCAATGTACTAAGATACTTCGTGAGAATAAAGCATCTTTAGGTAGCCGTTCCTGAAATAGTCCCTCCTTCTTATCCCTTCTCTTCAGCTTCCAGCCCTGATTGTGCTCTTTCTTCATGGCAGGAATCATATCTGTTTCCCCCACTGGAATGCCAGTTCCCTGAGAGCAGACTCTGCCAGTCTCAATATGACTGTCTCTCCTGCATTAGGCCCAGGAGGCCTAATGCATAGCAGGTTCTCAATAAATAGTTGTTGAAAAAATAGTCTGTTTTTTCCAGGAGGCAGGGTGGCAACTGTAGTGGCCAGACAACAGTGGTTCTCAAACTTAGGTTTGCTTATTTCAAATCTAGGCTCCTGGCCCAGCACTGAGGGTCCAATTTAGGAGGTCTGGCTGGGCAAACTGAATTTGCTGTTTTAAACAAGTACCCAGGTGATTCTGTTGCCCCTTAGTCACTCTGGCTAGATCTGACAGATCTTGGTTTGACTTTAGCTTGCCACTTATTAGTTGAGTGACTTTAGGGCAGCAACTCCTCTGGGCCCATTTCCTTATTCGTAGATAATAGGGATGTTGGGTAATGGGTGTGAAGTTTTGGCCTAATGTCAGATCCTGAGGAAGGAACAGACCAGGGTGGTGGCCCAGGCTGTGGACTCAGTATTACAAAAGGTGCTATTGGATCCGCCTGGTCACCTGACCCAGCAGGGAGGAAGCTTCCAGAGGCTAGTGCCAGATGGTGGAAGTGAGCCTGTCATTATTTCTATTATTATTATTATTAGTGTTTATTGTTGTGCCCAGGCAGATATTTCTCCCTGAAGGTTCAGTCTTGGAATTGCCTGGTTTGAAATGGAGAATCTGCCCTACTCCAGATCTAATGAATTGACATCTGTATTTTACCAAGATTCTGAGGCCATCCTTTGTGCAGTCCAGGTCACATGTGCTGCTTTCTTCCTGTCTTGAATTTCAGGAGTCTGCTCAGAAGATTTGTAAATCCTGGCACTTCAGCATCTGAATCCTTCCTTCTCTGTGACAGCCGTTTCTCACCCTCCTGAGTGTGGACGGAGAAAGGCCCTGCAACTGAGAAGGTTGAGGGTGTGTGGTTCCTAAAGCCAGGTGATGGATCCAAATCCCATCTTGCTTTCTTCTCAATCCCGGACCTGCTCCTACCTGGAAGACCCCTGCATGGAAGGTGAGAGAAGCTTATCCTCCCAAGAGCTGGGCAGAGACTCCCCCTTTCTCTGGGACCAGCTGCCCAACTCCAGCCTTGCTGACCCTGACTGGTTTGGGAACGAGCACATCCAAGCAAAGAGGGCCAGAGTAGAGACCATCGTCCAAGGTGTGTGTCTCTCCCCTATCTCTCTAGTGCCAGAAAATGCCCACGCCAGGGACAGCCCATGCTACCCAGAGAAGGTCAGGGAACGGAAGAGGAAGCAGAGCCTTCCCATGCAGCAAAGCTCCCTTAGGTCAGGCCCTGTCCAAGACCAGGGCACTGGGATAGGGAGCCACCAGGTGAGACAACAGCTTCACCTGCTGAAGCAGCAGCTGAGACATCTTCAAGAGCACATCCTACAGGCTGCCAAGCCCGGGGCTCCAGTCCAGGGCCTGGGAGGCTCTGAGCAGGAAAGAGGCCCCCTGAGTGCAAAGAAGAGGAATGGATGTAGGTCTAGCCCCTGGGATATGGACAGTGATCACCACCAGGACTTCCAAGGAGGAGAAAAGCACAGAATGGCTGAGATTGGACACCAGTCGGAGGAGCCCAGTTTCCTTCCTTCTGGAGCATGGGCAGTGCTGGAGATCCTGAGGAAGGAACTGACCAGGGTGGTGGCCCAGGCTGTGGACTCAGTATTACAAAAGGTGCTATTGGATCCGCCTGGTCACCTGACCCAGCAGGGAAGAAGCTTCCAGAGGCTAGTGCCAGATGGTAGAAGTGAGCCTTCACTTTCTGGAGGAGGTGCCTGTAAAGATCTACCTGCTCTGGCCACCGCCTTGCCCAGGAGGGTCCAGCCACAAGCTGGGGTTTCTTTGGGAAATTTATCACTGGCCAACCCTCTGGATTCTCCTACATACCCAGTCTCTTCAAGAAGGGTCACCAAACCCTATCAGGGTCCTGCAGCAAACTGTCCCTTCACTGTACCCTCCCACATCCAGGAAAGTCATATTCTTAATCGGTTACTGGGTCATGGGTCCAATGGCCATTGGAGCAGAGGTCCTCCCCAGGATGCATCTTCCCAAAGTTGCCCATCCCCACAGTCTGCCCAGCAGCCTTGGGTTTTGAACCCAAGGCTCCCCCTGCCTTTCACAGCAGCACATCTGGAGAGCCAGCCTCTCCTTCCCTCTGTGAAGATGGAGCAAGGAGTTCTGCAGGCTGTCACTGATGCTCTTCCTTTCTCTTCCATCCACATATCCTTTTCTGGTCATTGAAGTTTTTGTGGTCACTGCCCAGAGAAGCAGGAAAACTGGAAGTTGAGGAGGAGGTGGACAAATAACTATATTACATACAGAATAGCTTTGTTGTCCTTGTTTTTTTTAACTTTTTTTTTTCAGTAGTGGAGGGATTGAACTCAGGGCCTTATACTTTTAGTTTGTTTTTCAGATAAGCTCTCACATCTCACACTTTTGCCCAGGCCAGCCTCAGCCTGTGATCTTCCTACCTCTGGTTCCCATATATCTGGGATTATAGGCATGCATTATCATGCTGGGCTTTGCCCATGTTCATCTTCTTTTTAAAACATTTTTGGTGGTCCTGGGGTTTGAACTCAAGATTTTGTGCTTGCTAGGCAGGCACTCTACCACTTGAATAATGCTCTCAGCCCTTTTTGCTTTAGTTATTTTTGGGATAGGGTCTCACTTTTTGCCCAGGCTGGCCTGAACCACAATCCTACTTGTGCTTCCTGTTTGGCTAATAGTCATGTGCCACCACACCCAGTTTATTTATTTATTTGTTTATTTTTATTGGTTGAGATGGGGTTTTGCTAACTTTTTCCCTGGGCTGGACTTGAACCATAATCCTCCCAATCTCTGCCTCCTGTGTAGCTTGAGCTACTGTGTCCCACTCCCATGGCCTTCTTCATGTTGCATCTGGACCTCCTTCCCGTGTTTCATAGCCTACTGGTGGTGTGACTGAGTGGAAACCACATTTTAGGATTTAAGGATCCCCGGGAAGGTTCATTTACTTTTGTGGCCCATCAGATTCTGCCACAACTGACTTAGTCATTTGAGTCTAAGAGGGTTTTGTTTGTTTGCTTTAAACTCAAATGGGTTTCCAAAATAAGATACTCTATGAAGGAGGAACTCTGTAATTTGGCTTCCAACTGCCTATACTCCCAGGCCAGAGGGTCAAAGGATTGACTTCATCTGAGGTATGGCTTCCCCAGCCTCATAGCTCTACAAGCCAAAGGCCTGCATTATCTAGATAATTCATGGATAATACATGAGGGACCAGGAACTTCTGGGGCAAAAGAGTTGTTTTCCTCAGAGACTGAACCCCCAAAAAGCAGCTGGAAGAGGTGAGAAGCCTTCAGTTTAAGGCATAGTTTTCAAGCCACAGTCACCTGGGAGCTGGGCACAGGAGGGAGAGGAGACCCCTTCTCCTGGAGAAGCCTGAGAGGCTTGGGCTGGCCTGAAGCAGTCTGGATCTTGCTACATCTTTTTCAGAGTCCTTAGGCAGACCCCACTCTCTTAAGCAGTGTTTCCCAGAGTAACCCTCAGGATATTACTAGTTGTTGAGTTAGAAGAAAGCGTCACTTGGGTAAATACTGGGTTTGCTTCTTTACTGTGGGACTTCTCAAAGCCTTTCACATGCTGAAGTATGAATGCAAAGCTCCGAGAGAATGTAGTAGCCCCAAACTCTTGTGACTAAAGAGCCCTCTTCCAATAAGCATTTTGTGGACTAAAATTCCTGAGAACATATTTTGGATGTTTATGTATTTATTTATTTTTAGTGACCTTTGCTCACACTGCTGTTTATCATGGACAGCATTAGTCCCAGCCTCCAGCAGTCCATGTGTCTGGAGTCTCATATCCAGGTATGAACCTGTTTTCTGCCTGGCAGGTGCAGGGCCATAAATGGGGGCCGGCTCACTACCAGTCAGAGCCTGCTCTTGAGTCCTAAATGTTATGTGCGCCCCCTGCTGGTCTCAGGTGTTAGAAACACTCCAAAGCTCAGGCTTCTCTGAAAGGCAGTGAGCAATCTTAAAACCAACGCTAAAAACACTTCCTTTGGGGCTGGCGGAGTGGCTCAAGTGGTAGCGTCAGGTGGTGAATTTAAACCTCAGTATCGAAAAAAAAAAAAAAAAGCCAATCACTGCCTCTTCAGGAAGTAGGAATCCTCTTGGAGGTAAAAAGAGAGCAGCATAGACTTGATTTTCAGTATGAGAACTCTACCTGTCTGGGCCTTTAATGAGAGGCCACTGGTTAGACTCCCTACCGAATTCAGGCAGCAGGACGCAACCTCTCCAAGGAGACGGTCCCCCAGAGGTTTGTTATTTGCCAGGCATCCCTGCCTAGTGAAATGACTGGGCTCAGAGAGAGGTCCCTGCTGACCTAAACCAGGCCTGGTTGCATGGGTGAGTGAGTGCGTGTCCACCCCTGAGATGTCCTGCCTTCCCAACTATCCCCTTCCTCCATGCCTGTATGTCACACTAGAGATTGACTCTTATGAAAGCCACTGAGCAGGCTGCTTTAAAGTAGAAAAGAATGTTCCCAGGGCCACGCCAACCCTGGGTGGGTAATGAGGGTTCCATGAATGTACCCATCACTACTCAGCCACAATTCTGAAACCCCAAAAAAGCTCTTTTCCCTATGACCCCCCTCCCAAGATTGATTCAAACAACTTTTCTTGTGGCAAAATCTGACCTATACAGACTGGAGCCTATTTACAGAAGCCTGAATAATCATACATTTTGCCGTGAGAATATTAGTGCATTGAATTTCAGACTGCCTGTGCTGTGGAGGTCCACTATATCACACACACACACATACACACACACACACACACACATGCGCGCGCGCGTGCATTACCTTCATAAAATAACAGAAATTCTGAAATCTGACTCCACATGGCCCAGTGTTTCAGATAAGGGGTTGTGGGCCTGGATTAGCCCATATTCCTCATGCATCCTAGGACCAGGTATCTGAGAGGCAGAGGCAGAGGCAGAGAAACAAACTAACTTCCCACAGTCACAAGACAGACAAGGAGCCAATATCCAAAATGATTTGATGGCTAAGCACAAACTTTAACCACTACACTATACATCTTAAAAAGGAGGCCCAGAAAACTTAGGTAGCTTGCCCCGGGTCACACAGCTAATAGGTGGCCAAATCAATATTTGAATCTAGATTCTTTGGGTCCCCAAAGATTCTTTCCATAGTATTTATGAACCTGAATGAAGGGCAAGAAGTGGGGTCAATGGGGCAGGGGACAGGGATCTTCCCAGCAGCAGCCTCAGTCAGCTATAACCATAGTCAGTGGATTTGATTTCTTTTGGCTAAACCTATTTATCCTACTGCTAAGTCTTAATTGTGCTAAAGCTATAGCTCACAGGCCTGGTACCCAAGGTTACTCTGTAGGATGCTTCTTATCCAGAATGGGGACTGTCCCTGAGAATGCTAAGTGTTCTTACATGAGGGTCTTTATTTTCCTCCCACTCTGGTGCTGAGGAGTAATACCACAGCCCCTCTGCCCTTGTTAAAGGGAAGGAATCTGTCCTTGAGGTGAAGTATGGACTATAATTTCCATATAGGTGTGGATTAAGATTGACCATCCACTCACTCTTTCACCCAACACCATTTATTGAGCACCTACTATGTGCCTAGCACTGGAATAGGCATGATAAAAAGATACAGTTCTTGCCCTCAAAGAGCTCACAGTCTAAATAGGGAGACAATACATGCAGTAAAAATTCCAATAAAGTCATTGCAACAATACAGGTTTATAAAAGGACCCTTGGGAGTCCCGGGTAACCAAGGTCTAATTTGGCAAGGAAAGATTCCATGGGGGATAAAGCTTCTGAGCTGGGGCTTGATGGAAGAGGGAAAGTTCTATCAGGCAGTAGTGGTGAGGTGGGGTGGCATGGGGTGAGGCAGATGCAGCAGAGTTGGACCTTCTCCATCAAGCAGGAACACAATGGGAATAGTTCAGCCTGGCTAGATCCTTGCTGGGTTGCACCTGCAAAGGCAACTAGAATGAGAGCCAGAGTGAAGGCCATCCAGATCGCTCCACTTGTTTTACAAATGAGGAAGTTGAGGCAGAGGGGAAGTAAATGTCTACTTGGGGCTTCAAAATTGATTGTCCAAGATAGAGGTGCCACCTCCATCCCATTTTGAAAAAGGACACATACAAATTACAGCAAATTATATTTGATGTCATGCATGCCATATGATATGTAACTTTCTACACATCAAGGCTTTTTTTTTTTTAATTCTTCAACTTAACTGCATGGTATGGTTTCTAGCTTATCTAATCAGTTTCCAGAGAAAGAAAAATGGAGCAAATTCTCCATTCAGCTAAGAAAAAAAAAAAAAAGAATAAAACAGAAAGCACAAGGACTTTTGGATTATCTGGTAAGATTATTTGATAAACTGGTGTTTTAAAGGGTTACTTTTCCTTGACACTAAAACAAATCCAGGAAGGCCTAAACCCTGGTCACTTGAAGAAGGCCAAACTAATGTTTTTCTTCACACGGTACCCCAGCTCTAACCTCCTGAAGGCTTATTTCCCTGATGTTCAGGTAAAGCCACTCAGAGTTTAAGCCTCTGCAAAACTCCCATGTGCTCAATGTGTGGCAGGTCCTAGGTCCCTGAAGGTACACTTCAAGCTCTCTTCATATTGTTGATAGAACTGATGCCATCTCTACTTCTGAGACTGCTCTTGCACGAGGGAGGTTGGGTATCTGAATTTTTGTACCTTTGGGCAGAAGAAAATCCCAGAACCACAAGGGAGGTGGAGAGAAACACTACTTAAGTGGAATCTTTGGCCTAGTTTTCTATCCTTGCTGGGGACCTTATGAAAAAGAAAGTACAGAGTAGATAAATATATAAAATGTAGTAAGACACTGTCAAACTTTCTTGCTGTGTTTCAAAACTAAAAGTATATACAGATCAAATTGTGATAGTATGGAAAATCAAACTGATCGTTGAAACCAAACATTGCCTGTTCCCACAGAAACAGAGGGCCTCCATAATCCTGGGTGTTGGGTTAGGGGATTCTTACCAACCCATACCCTTACCCCTTCCCTTGGCCCTTTACTCAGGCAGAAGGCTCTGGGGCTGCCATGCTGGCAAGTTTCCTTGACTCTAGACTGTCCCAAAGTTACACTTAAAACACCACAAAAAGGTTCTCATGGGTAAAAACCTTTATAAATGTAGTATGTAAGAATTATTTTCTAATGACACAGCATAGACTTGGCAAACGACTATGGCTTCTTTTCCAAAGGAAGGCCCTGTTAGAGTTGGTTGAAGCCATTCACATTTACCCCATGTTGAACTGGACACTAACAGTTCTGATTCTGAGCTCCTCATGGCAAATGTCTGACTTTGATGATCTCGTTTGCACAGTTCAACCGCTGCATTACTTCCCAGATGATCAAGTGGTTCAGCAACTTTCGTGAATTTTATTACATCCAAACGGAAAAATTTGCCCGGCAAGCAATTTCAGATGGTGTGACAAATCCCAAAATGCTAATGGTTCTCCGTGATTCAGAACTTTTTCGAGCTCTCAATGTGCACTATAACAAGGGAAATGACTTTGAGGTAAGACAATGTACTGGGTCCCGTGAGGTCTGAGCTGTGTCTTCCCTGTATGATTTGATTGGTGTTTTGTTTTGTTTTGTTTTTAAAAAAAGATCCCCTCTGTGTTTGTCCTTAAGTCAGTGAGAATCATGGTGGTTTGAGGCCAGTATCTGTATCATCCACAAAGATTACAGCCTCAACATCTCCCAGGCAACAAACATGGATACAGCAGTCTTTCTGCTCAAACTGCAGCACCGGCCTGTCAGGTGCCTCTATTCTAGACTTATTACTCTGTAGTTATCAAGTTACAGAATTTGTTGACCTCAGTGCCTTTGTTTTGCTCAGTGCCAGGAGTCTCTATACTAAAAGCTAGGCTCAGGTATAGCACCTCATCTTGGCCTAGTTTTTTTTTTAAACAACAATTTCTGCTGTTATTGTCACTGAGCTTTTACCTGTATTCTCACTTGAACAATTTATTTGTGGTCCTTCCGTGGAAAATCGCCTCAAACTCTTTCTGGAGATAACAATGCTTAAGCTTTGCAGCCCCTAGGGATCTCTGTGAAGGCACATTGGTGACACCTTAGAGGTAAAACTGTCAGAAAAGGATAAGCCTAGGTGTCATTGGTGTGAAATCTGTCACGAGACATGCACAGCCTCTTGGGCAGCTAACAGCTGTTAGGCTGGCATCTTATTATGCAGGTGCTGTGTGTCTGGTCACAGACTGCATTCTCCCCTTGCCTTTCTCACTTGACTGTAATCACAACGGCAATTTATTGATACCTCTAAGAACGTTAAGAACTGCTGGACCCAATGCCCAGCTAGAGTATGTATGGAGACCTAAACCTACCTATGGAAAGGGGTCAGGGCAAGTGTGGGATGGCAGGACTGTCATCTTTCTACATGGGAATGGTCATTTGGCAGGCAGGGGTGGCAAACCCCAGACCATGCTGGATCTGGAGGAACTGTGGGACCTCATTCGATATGGGGCAGCCTTGGTGAGGGTTCAGGAACAGTTGGCTTTGGAAGCGGGAATGTAAGTCCTTGAGATCCAGACCTAAATGGTGGTGGGATGAGGTATGACAGTCATAGCTTGGGAGCATTCCTAAGGAAAAGAATGCTAAAACAAACCCTTTGAACCATAGATTTCATTTCATTTCCTAAAAAGTACCAGCATTAGTGGACTGAGTTCCTCCTACAAAGGTAGCATCTCTAATACAATTTTCCCAGGGCTGTCTCACTGGAATGGTCAGTTTAAGGTTTGTGTTTGACGAAGGAGCTAGGGATTCCTAGGGCTGCAGAATCAGAGGGCAAAGAGCAGGTATACTCTTTGCCTACCGCCCAAGGACCAGGTGACATCAGCCAGTGGGCTCTGTGTAGTGCTAGCACTTCCAGTCTCACATCTTCTCTTCCTTGGGGGTCTCTTTGGGGATGCAGGTCCCAGACTGTTTCTTGGAAATCGCCAGCCTGACGTTACAGGAGTTCTTCAGGGCTGTCTCCGCAGGGAAAGACTCAGATCCTTCCTGGAAGAAACCCATTTACAAAATTATTTCAAAACTGGACAGTGATATCCCAGAGGTATTCAAATCTTCCAGCTATCCCTAGAAGCTGTTTCCAGAGTTAAGATCAAAGACAATGAGTAACTGGGCAGGATTTCCTGAGTTTGTCTCAAATGGCACTTTAGCTGTAGTCACATAAAAAGGGCACAAGGACCCCATACCCCAAGTAGGCACTATTACTAGTTTGATCAAAGATTTAACTTTATAGTATATCAACTAAGTGTATGAACAGGTTGGTAGTGTATTTAAAAAGAAACACAAATTTGGAATCAGAAGACTTGGAATGTCAATTCCACTGTTGCCAGATGGGAACTTCCTGGTATCTCTGTACCTGAAAAATGAGGTTATAAGAATTAAAAGCTAAAATGTCTTAAAGTACTCTGTGACATGGGGACACAAATGTTAGCAATGCCCCACCCCCATCCCCCAGCTTTCAGATAAGTTTATCTTATTTGAAGTTTTTACAAATGGTTGGTTTTTTTATTTCAATTACCCATTTCTCAAACTCCATCTATTTGCTAGACATTTTCACACATATTATCTTTAAGCTTTTCACCCTGAAAAGTGGAAATTATTCTCATTTTTAAAATGACTTCAGTTTTTGAACTGTGAGGTGACTCCTCAAAAGCTGAGGTTGGACACTCAGGCTGGTCAGGGAGTTTGGAGGAGCACACAGCCTTGTGGCCAGACTGAGTACTGAGCCTCCCCACGAAGACACTCAGGACCTCGAACAGGAGCCTATCCTTAGTAAGCATCCAGCAAAGTGGCACTATCATCTGAGAGCCCTGCCTGGCACTTAGGAATGCTTCAAGATTTTTACTGATGGTTTCAGCAAAGCAGGCAGAAACTTCCTGAAGGACTTGAGCATTGCTGGTTGTTCACACTGTGTGGTGGAAGAGTTGATCAGCTGGACAACCTTTATAGTTTCTATTTGAACAATGAAATTGATGCCCCACCTTGCTATGCGCACAAGAAATGGAACTTGAAAGGGCCTTAGGAGATCGTCTGATCTACCCTGCTTACCTCAGGGAAGAAACTGAGGCCTAAGCAGGAGGCTAGCACAGGTTGTGTACAGTTTCACAAGAGATGAACATCATAACTGGGACAAACAGCACCATACACCGAAATGGAGATTTTCCCACTCTACAAAGGAATTATATTCATGAATGAACTTCTGCAGGTGAAGGGATTCGTGAAATCCACACTTTCTTCCCTACTGGCCAACACAAATTGTGACTCACTCTGTGCACATAGGCAAGAGATCTGCAAAGCTAAGCAACTCCAACTGTCTTCTAAATTAATCAGAATCAGTGCTGGAAGCACTGCCAAAGGTGGGTGGGCTGGGGGTAATACATAGCTCAGGATTTGTAGTCCTGAATAAGGGGTGTCTGTGACTGCATTAGCGAACTTGCTTCCCATCTACATAAAACAGTTCCATATTCAGTGACTTCACTTGCACAACTTTTGGGGGGAGGTGCAAGCTGCGAAAGATGAGAAAAAAACTCCCTGAACTTGTTAGATAGATCAACATAAAAAGGTATGAAAACAACTTTCCTCTGAATTGTTTCTTTAGCTGAAAAGAGAAATAAAATATGCCCAGTCCAAACCAGTCTTTGCAAATTATTTATGATTTGTTTTTGTTTTTGTGCTGCAGATTGAATCTAGGGTCTCATGTTAAGCATGTGCTCCATCACTAAGCTACAACCCACCTAAGGGGTATGTTTAAGTGCCCTTCAATACATCCAATTATACCCATACAATCATTGCTCTACTTTGGCTCTACTTTCACAAAGTCCCCTATCCAAACGAAGGAATCCATCAAACCCAAGATTCAAACATCGGCAAGGACTGAGTACCCTGGGGAAGGGTAATCAGTTCTGTTTGGAAACAGAAGAACCACTCTCCAGAGTGATCTATTGAAGATATTCACAGGAAACAACTCCAAATTCACATGATTGTCCAATATGGATCAGCTCGCTTCTTTGTCCCAAACCTGAAATTCATTAGTGTATGTTTTAAAGATTGAGCCAAGCTACCTCCAGGGCAGTGAACCTTATCCCAACGACCAATTAGATGAAATGTGCAAGCTCAAATTGAAAACATTTGTGTACTGCAGCCTTTCCAGGACATGTTCTCTAACCACTGAGCTAAACACAGAAGAATGTACAAATACATACAGTCTGCCAGCAGAAGAATTCTATTTTATTACAGTTTCTGTTTCTATCAAGTATAGCTCTTGCAGTGTTGGGGCACACAATCTGAATGTAAGCCGAGCTGGATATTATGTTCTTTCAGCAGTCAAAACACTGCCAAAGGTCTGGTCAGTCTTTCCATTAAGGTATATGTGGGTGCTGTTCGTTCCCAAATTAGACATTCACAGTCTGGTCAAGTGCTGCATAATTGTCTAATCTTTCAGTGGCGGATGACAGGCCTGGTCTGTGGTGTGTGATGACAATTGCCCTTAAGAGTAAACACTCAATTACCAATTAAAAGTAGGCAGTTAATTGGCATTCCACGCAGGGAAAGGTTCATTAGGAACTTTTAGTTCAAACATGGTTCCAGATAGTATGCACAACTCCAAATTAGGATCAAACAGTGGGAGGCCAAAGCCATCTCCTGGGAATAAAAAGGGTGCCTGAACCATTTTTCCCCCACCAAAGAAAGGGCAGACAATACTCTTTCGTATTGTCTTTGTTATAAGGATCCTTAGAAAAACTAATTTAAAATAACACTTCTTTAACCTAATTTTCCATATCTTTAGAAAATATTTCTTTAAAAATCCATTTTATAAAATTAGGTAAAATTTTGGTAGTCAAGTTTCCTGAAGTCCTAAATATTCTGAATTTTCATAATTATTGATTCTAGCCCTTTAGAGTTTTGACCCTTTGCTCTGTAAAGCAGATCATAGTTTGATGATATATGAATTCAATTCAAAGCAAAACACTTTGATGTTTTCATACAAACTGTTAAATATTTACATGTATTTCACAAATGCAACATTTTCTCAGTGCTGAGAAACATTAAGGAAATATAGTCAGCGATGGGTGGAAAACAAATACTTTAGCTAAAATAAATTATAGCTCTGCCAGATAGGCTGGTGATTAAATTAAATACATTTGAATTTGAAAAGTGCTCTACAATTTTTTTTTCCTTTTCTTTCTTTTTTTGGTGCTGGGAACTGAATCCAGGGCATCATGTGTGCTTAGCTCACTCTCTACCACTGAGCCGCACCCTCAGTCAGTGTGCTACAATTCTTAATTGCTTTCAGGCTTGATGCTTTGTGGATAAGATAAGCTTGCAACAAGATGGCAAACGTCATACTTCTTGTGAAAGTATTACAATATTCTTGGTCAGATTTACCACAGGTCTATAAAGAATGAGCTCTTGTGACCTACTCGAGAGCATTAATAAATGCTACATCCCTGAGGTAGAGCATACACTCTACTTACAAATATTACGTGCTCACTGTGGAAGAAAATTCATGAAGAGTATTTTCCAGGGTTAGACAATTCCTATAAAGAAGAAAAAGATCTTTCAGACTATATAACCTAAACATTCTAATCAAGCGCCCAGAAGTTGAGTGTTCAGTCATAATTAAAAAAAACCCAAAACCTTTGCCGGGTGCCCGCTGGCTCATACCTGTAATCCTAGCTACTCAGGGGGCAGAGATCAGGATTGTGGTTTGAAGCCAGCCTGGCACATAAACTTTGCAAGACCCTATCCTGAAAAAACCCATTACAAAAAAGGGCTGGTGGAGTGGCTCAAGGTGTAGGCCCTGAGTTCAAGCGCTGGTACAGTTATTAAAAAACAAAACACCAAAACCCAAGCAGATGCCTGCCTCAGAGGAAGAAAGGATGTGTGTGATGAAAGGCTGCAGGCAAGCACAATGAAAACAGAAAGGACACATCCCACCCCAGCTTTATGAGTCCCAGAGTTTGTCTTTTCTTGCACCAGATCTTTTGGGGGTTACTTTATTTCTCATGATCCCACCTCTTTATGCTCACACTCTTGTTTTGCCATTTTCAAATTTTCTAGTCACTCTTAAACAAATGTCAGTTCTTATTCTTCCCTTGGAAATAAATTTTTTTCCTCCTATTTACTGATTTTGGTGGCTCAGACTCTTGTGTCCTTGTTTACTCCTTCTGGTTTAGAAATTTAGCCATAAGCAAAAATGCTGCCTCTCTCTTTCACTTTTCCCTACTGTATCTTCAGGGACCTGACCTGAGCCTTTGCTTTCTCACTCATCAATATCTTCCAAAGTAGAGTGCTGTGCCTGGTGCATGCACTCAGGTACCTACCAGCTATGGACCTCTGGAAGTTACTCTCTTCCCCTCAGCTTTCCCATCTGTAAATAGTACCTATTTATTTCATAGTACTATTCTAAGTTTTTGGTAAATTAAAACATGTGAATGCTTAGCACACTTGTAGTGCACAGTATGTTCTTAGTGTTAGCTGTGCTATTCCTTAATGTCATAAACTTAGCACTCATAACTTTGTAGTGCTTTACAGTGAAAAAGATTTTCTTAGCTTAAGAATGGCACAGAAGTGTGGCATTACTGATACAAAATGTATTTTGAAACTTGTTTTTACTTTAGTCATACAGTAACATACACTGTCTGTTATGACAGCATAAAACTTAGCTTTAAACTGATACATTAATATATTTACATATATTTCTGAGTAAAGAAACTCAGCTAAAAAGCCTGGTGCTATAAACTTTATATGCAGCTCCTCACTCTTTATTACAATCCTATGCTGATGTGTTTGACAGGACATAACTACTATTGGTTTGCTAGTTTGTTGCTAAGACAATGACCTGCTTTTGTCTTTTACAGGCCAATATAATATTCTGTACTTTTGACATTCTTTTAAATATAAGCTTAGTGACTAATGTGGCATTTCTGAAATCAGGCAACTTTCATCTTTACTGCTTTTTAAAGGATTAGATCTATGTCTGTTATATTAGACTTGTTTCTGACCTGAATATTTTCTTGATTAACTTCTGTAGTTATTCAAAACATCTCTGTAGTTGTACCACTTGTTAAAAAAGGCTGGTTCTTTCTTGATTGGGTGAGGGTTAGGAAAGGGAACATTCAACCAACACAACCCGGGTTTTCCTCTCCTAACATTTAAAGTCTGTAGTCAGAATTATTTTTCCATATCAGTTTTTTTACTGAAAATCATCTTCCTCAGAGGGAGGAAGGAAGAGTAATATGGACAGGGTGAATTCGATCAAAGTACATTATATGAATGTATGTAACTATCACAATGAGACCCCTTTGAATAATTAATTTATGCTGATAAAAAGTTAAAAGAAATGAAACACGCTATAAAATTGGAAAGAGGACACTTTCAAACCC